GTGCAGAGAGGACGAGCAGAAGATGGCAACATGCCAACAAATTTTATATAAGAGAGTGAAATGGCTAAGAAATCAACAGTCAATGGAGTTTTTCAGGAGGTCAGTTGTTTTATATGATGTGTCATTGTGAACCTACAGTTTCTGTTTATTCATGTTTACAACAAAAGGAATGTTTTTTATATCATCTTTGGAAAACGTTTTTGTTAATACCTCCTCAACCACAAGCAAAGAAGTTAGTCCCATGACATTTTACCATGCTATTCATTTTCTCTCCTCTGACAAAATAAGACTCAACTAGAAACAAGTGGCTTATAACATATAATTGACACTGCAATGACTTGGTAACATCATAATATGCTAGACTGCTGGATTTACCAATCATATTGACTGGCATAACTTTCTTCCAGCAGGACATCTCCCAGATAAGGGGCAACTAAGCCCGAAACTGGATTCAAAACACCTTCATTAAGCTAATTAGAAGTTAACAATCATGAGCATTTGACTGCCCTGTTTCAATTGCTTTCATTCAATGAAACATTTGCAGCGAGTGTGCATAGCAAATCTGCACCCACTTGAACAACTGAGAACATTATTTGACTTTGAGCGGGGATGCAAATTGAGTTTCTTGTCCTGGCTATATAAGAAAATTGAATAGTTAAATTGGGATGATCCCTATCACACAAGGACAAGAATACTAAGGATTCACATAAAGTAAGATCTTGTACAAACTAAATATTACAAATAGAGTAAATTATAAGAAGCTTTTCAAAATTTAGGCTACAACTGGATCCATTAATTTAAAATTATTACAATCCAGTTCTTCTATTTTGAATAAACACTATAACGCATTCCAATAAACTGGTTGGCGCCGTTAAGATGACTGTTAGACCACAAATGGTTCCTTCTATTCCAAGAAAAAAATCCAAAAAACTCCTCTAAAAAATAAAACATAAGATTTTCTGTAAGGAAAAAATGAAAGAATTTTGACCAAAATTCAAGAGTTTGGTTTGTTAAGTTTCTCTAATCACAGTTCTGAAAGCTCTCAAGAATTTTGATCAAAATTCTTCAAAATTTTGTGCACTTTTTTAGAGTTTTTATGCATTCTCTTTGAAGAAAAAGAAAGATTAATTTATGTTTTAACAATAATTTTAACATTTTGAGTTGTAATGCTTGTTCTGAATATAGGAACTAAATTATAATCTCTTTAAAACTAACGGACTTGATTCTAGTTAGGCCAAAAATCAGAATTTTCCCATAATTTACCCTTATAAGTATACAATAAGCACTGGAAGGGGCAGGCAAAAGAATATCATACCTCTTCTCCCTTCTTGAGAAACCCTATTCTCCTTATATTAAGACGCACTGAAGCATAGAACTTCAAGGCATTACCTCCACAGGTAACTTCCGAGGGCCCAGCAAATCCTCCAAAAGTTGAAAGTTTTGACCTAATCTGGAAATAAATATTAACAGTGAGAAACCATGTCCATTAACATGTTCACGTCTCAATCGTACAGAAGCACAAAAATTAAAACTACATTGAAAGGGATAAACAAACTTCATTCGCAGAAACAAGTACATTCCAGTAAAAAAGAAGCTTCAATTGCTAATGCCTAAACAAGGCGGAAATTCATGCCTCTTGGGATCAAAGCAAGTTATACCAGCTAATATGAATGAATGCTTATGTGTTTTACATGCATGGAGAGGGACCCAAAGACGACCATCAGCAAGTCTTACAAGGCTGGAGAGGGACCCACAAAAAGCAAGCAGAAAATAGATAAACATCAAAGAGAGTCAATTTTTGGGAATCAACAACCTCCAGGTGCCAAAGACTCGCATGTGGAACCCATATGCGTATGCATGAAATTGGGATTAGTTGAATCTTCAAAAAGTTAGACCTCTTGTACCCTAGTCAATTGTACAAGAGGTCATTAATCAGTTAAAATTAAGGAAGATTAATTTTAATGTCAGTTAAAAATAAGGAAGATTGGAAGGATTCTCCAACTATTCAAACCCTAGTCAATTTTAGAAAGAAACAAAATGAATTGTCATTAATTAGGATTGTCGCATGAACCTTATTTCATTCTCGACAATTGACTAGCACAATCTTTCAACGCCAACCACTTCCACAGTCATACAGATCAGTATTTTAGTAACACAACAATGCCACATTTTTATTGGCCACAATCTGCATAGTTATTCAATGTTGTCTAATATAGTTCCTAGAATTTTACATATATTCCTCAAGACCAAGCTTGGCTTTATGATCAACATGTTCAACATGATTAAAGATGCATAAATATTAATGTCCATAAAAGAAAGTCAATTAAAAGGATTAAAATATGGAAGAGCCACTTGAAAAGTTGGAAGCATCAAATATCAAATTGAGAAATAGAACTCTATAAGATGCTAATGAAAATAAAACTTTTATCTAACAAGGTCCTATGCATGGAGGAACTCAAGACACCAACTGACATTACTAATGTTCAAGAAAAGAGGATTCTGACATAGCAGTGTGTCAACTCATTGATTTTGTCCGGCCTAAAGGTTTCATACACAGCACTAGTTGTATGTTGGCATCATTTGTGCTTCTGATGTGGTTGAACAAGCTAGAAGTTTGCCCTGAAAAAAGGGGGATATTTCAAGATTGTGGTTTTGGAGACTTTGTCATTGCAAACTTGAGGTCTAGTTCTCGCCAACCAAGGGAGAATGACAGAGAAGGGGCATGAAAGAGAATTTTTAAATCAATTATTTCTAGCTAATATACAATCTTTTTTTTTAGATAAAAGTGTAAAAATATATTATTATGGGGCATCAAGGGGGCGCCAAACCCATGTGCAAAAGGATTTACAAGTCAATTAACATATTTACAATTGACCCTAAATCATCAAAATGGGTAATACTATGATCTAACACAATGGAACCAAATATATGGAGCCATTTGTTCAAAATATTGTTAAAGGTGTCTTCCTTTCCTTCAAAAGCTCTGTTGCTCCTTTCTTTCCAAATTACGCAAAAAATAGTAAGAGGGATGAATCAGATTTTTTGTTCTTTCTGCTTATCATTTCCCAAGCAAGTAATTCATCTTTGATAGTACCAGCCGCAACCCAATGAATACCAAGAAGACTGTAGACCATGGTTCATAGAGAAAAAGTGATAGGACACCAAAGCAACAGATGGTTACATAATTCTGAATTGCTCTTGCACAAGTAGCATCTATTTATTAGAGTGATGCCTCTTTTCATGATATTATCAATGGTAAGGATACGGTTTTTAGAGGCTTCCCAAGCAAAGAAGGAGATTCTTACGGGTGCACTAGCCTTCCATGTCATTTTTGCTGGGAAAACCTGTTTGATCCAGCTGTTTTGGCCGGCAATATGGTTATATAAAGATTTGATGCTAAAAGAGCCATTTTTGTTCAAAGACCATATCAGCTAGACATCTTCATCACTACTTCTTATATATTCCAGCATAGCCATCAAGTTATCAAATTCCTTAATTTCCCAATCGTTTAAATTCCTGTTCAGCAAGATATTCCAACAGTTGTCCGTGCTATTGTCAACTGCATTCTCAATGCACATAAGTTTATCTTTGGCTAAAGCATAAATGCGAGGGAATCGGGATTGCCGATTTTTGTTTCCACACCAAATGTCTGACCAGAATTGGATTTTATTTCCTCTGCCCACTGCCCATTTAAAGCATTTCATAACAGCTTTATCCATACTAGAGATACTCTTCTATAGGTTCATTCCATGATTGCTGCAGTTCAACAGATTCTGGTTTAGACACCCCTTCATATTCCATTCGCAGTCCACAACCTTTTTCCACAAGCTATTAGAATCATTCCAATATCTCCATGCCCATTTTCCATGCAAGGCTTTATTTAAAGTCCTTATGGATCTCAATCCAAGGCCTCCTGAACTGATGAGAGTCTTCACCTCCTCCGAATTTACAAGATGGAATTTTTTCTTTTTTTCCTCATCTCCCCATAGGAATCTGCATT